ACAAAACATAGCAAACCTTACACGTGTAAGGTTTGCTATGTTTTGAGTGATATCCGATATTTGGCTGTATTTGTGCAAAATATCACCGCTAGTTATTTTTTGGGTTGCATCTTTCAGGGCATAGCATGCTTGCGAAATCTTCCTAATTCATATGTTGTTTCGTTGAAATTTAAATTGAAAGAACGCGTTATGTTATAAACGCTACAAGTATAATAATATTTGATGGTGCCCTTTTTCAAGCTTAAACTTATAAATCCCCTAGCGCCATTTGCGTTTAGCTTTACACGGTCAACCATACATAACAGTTATAACCATCGTTGAACGGCTGAGCCAATTTTTCTTGGATTTATGACTACTAATATTCAACTTCATAGCCTTCGAATTTTGAACCCAACTCAGAAGACTTGGGAAATCATGGATCAAGTATTGGGAGAGATTTTCCATCGTGGAGGACTTTTTTATGGAACTAACCCGCACTTGTGTTACAAGGAGAGGAAAATCATCCTTAACAGTTAGAAATTAAAATATTAAGTTTGAAATTTTACTGTGCTTAAACTTCTTATTAAATTTATTTGAAGCCAGTTGTAACGTATACCTTTCGCCTTAAGAAATAGCCACGGTATTACTTATGAAAACTGGAATTTCATTCCAATTACCATTAGTACAATTTTGTTAGATGATCGTTATTTTCTTTAATAAGTAACTCAAATAATTGTTAATTTTCTCATAAAGTCACTGTTCGATGCTCACAAAAACGCAACTGCCTCACAGAATCTGATAATTGGATAGCTGAAGAAATTTCTTTACCTTGCCATAAAATTGCCCTATGGATGGTGTTCTCTACACTAGGGAACGCTGCAAGCTCGGTAACGCCTAAATTTCCGGGTTACTGTTTCAGTTGTATTTTAAAGCCATTTGGCATCATTGTGTTTTGAGATTCTTGCAAACAATGTATTTGATTACTTATTACTTGCGTTTTCAATGCTAACAATACTGGTGTTTACAATGCTAAAAGTGTTAACACTAACGTAAGATGGTGCACAGCTTGCAACAAGAACAAACAGTAATAAACTTATGGAAAGAGGCCATATCAAGACTGCCAAAAAAGCGAGTTATTCAAAATCTAGCAACCATGTCACCTTTTTTAACAATATATCTCTAAAAAACTAAAACAAATTTTCACTTCAAACTCACCAGAATTACATATTAACATTAATATCTTATGAAATATGGCAGATTTGAGCTCAGAAATTATCTAATTTATTTCTTTTATTGAAAACAAAATTATCCGTTTGAAAACATCGCCTATCAGAATAACATGTAGTAAGCAGCTGCAAACTTTTTAACCGGAACTAGAGTAGGTGCCGAGCTCGAGATTGTTATTGTTTACATTTCTATTGAAAACACCATCCATAGTGTATGAATCATTTTTTCAACGAATGCAAACATTCCTTCTGTAACAATTACAAGAGAGCACAAGAGAAAAATAATGATAATAAATAACGTTATACCTTTAATAAGATGTACTTAATATTTTGCAAATAAGTTGACAAGCTTCGTTTGCTTCATAATTATTATAGCTATAATAAAATTATAAATAAATGAAATTGGATTATTTATTTATATAAAATTATTAATTTATATAAAATTATATAATTAATTTATATAAAATAATATTAATAATATTAATTTATATAAAATTATTATTTTATTATTTAGGAAAGTTTTAATTTATATTTATTATTGTTTATCTTATTTTTTGAGAAAAATATTAACTGTTTTAAATGAAATTTATTTGACTGAATTTGTTTAAATTGATAGTTTTTTTTTTTTATCTACACTTTGTCGGAGGTGTGGCAATTTTTCTATATATATTTTATTTAAATTTTCGATGATTTAAAAAAAAACTTTTATACCACTTTTATTATTTCTCTATTTTGACAATTATAATTTTAGGCAATACTAGGCCTAGTAATAAGTCAAGTAATTGCCTAGTAATAAATACAATTACTAGGCAAAATCATATTTAACTAATATTAAATGAAGTAAAAGTTTATTTTTTTGTGATTAAGCAATTTAGTAATGAATTAAAAGCAGTTCTCATATTATATTGCATTTTGATTCGAAAATTTTTCTTTAACAATCGCTAATAAAATTTAAAAAAAATTCGAAATAACAAAAAGAGAGGGAAAATTTTCAGGTACTCTTAAAATTTTCCTGTACGATGCAGCCACCTGTTAAAAAACATTTCGTCAAAAAGGAAAACCTCCTACCAGTTATTCTTTAACCAAGTTTTCAGATCCTGAACAATGAGGTACGGGATCGGAGATCGATTGTGTTTTGGTTCAGGTCAAAATTACGATCTGCATATGGATGAATGGTGGGCGTATGTGTCCGCCTGGTAAAACGCTATGTTGTCTCTCTACGCTGCATCCGCATGATCCTGAGAGATGTTTCCCTGACAGTCACCAATAACCTATTGTGCAGCTCTAGTGCTGCGTGAATAAAAAGTACCCTTCCGTAGACTAGCCATGTGTACCTTTATTTCTCCCCTAAGGTATGGAAAATTTTACACCGGCCTAGGCCTATAGGCCCATTCGCCGAATACAATGGAACATCAATTTTTTAATCATAACATAAATAACAATAATCATAACATAAATAACAATCATCATAATATAAATAGATAATAATTTATCATAACACAAATAAATAATAATTTATCATGTCATAAATAAAGATAGCACATTGTGCAGCTCTAGTGCGACGTAAATGAACAACAACATAAATAAAGCTTAAGATTCGCCATGTTTCGAGTATTATCCCCTATTTGGTTATCCCCTATTTGTGTAAAATATTGCCGTTTGTTAATTTTGTATAGCATCATAGCATGCCTGTGGAGTTGCCCAAATTCATTTTCGGTTAAAATTAAACGGAATAATCGAACTTGATGGTAAAAGTAAAGTGGAAGTAGCAACCCAGAAATGGTGCAACGAATATTACTTTTTAGCGCCGTCTGTGCTTAGCTTTACTTTATTGTTAACCATACTTGTTTTGAGTAAGCTATAAGCAAATACTTCATTGTGCATAATTGTATTAAACTGTCTTTGCCGACAACAGAACAAGCAGGAACAGTTTCTTCATGGTTTTTAAATTATTATTATTTACGATCAAATATTATTGAGTTCACGTTTATGTTGCATTATTTTTTGATTTCTGGGAATGAAATGCAACAAGTAATATTGCTATAAAATTTAAGTGATTAGCTGGACGATCGCTAATATAAATTCTNAATGGCGCGATTTTTCAATCTGCGGCGTAAAAATATATCGGAAGCAGTAACCCGGAAGTCTTGAAAGAGCAACTTTACCACTAGCGCCACCACCCTTAGCTTTACACGATCACCCATCCATTATCCCCTATTTGGTTATCCCCTATTTGTGTAAAATATTGCCGTTTGTTAATTTTGTATAGCATCATAGCATGCCTGTGGAGTTGCCCAAATTCATTTTCGGTTAAAATTAAACGGATTAATCGAACTTGAGGGTAAAAATAAAGTGGAAGTAGCAACCATAGATTTCAACTCTATGGTAGCAACCCAGAAATAATGCAACGAATATTACTTTTTTAGCGCCCTCTGTGCTTAGCTTTACTTTATTGTTAACCATACTTGTTTTGAGTAAGCTATAAGCAAATACTTCATTGTGCATAATTGTATTAAACTGTCTTTGCCGACAACAGAACAAGAAGGAACAGTTTCTTCATGGTTTTTAAATTATTATTATTTACGATCAAATATTATTGAGTTCACGTTTATGTTGCATTATTTTTTGATTTCTGGGAATGAAATGCAACAAGTAATATTGCTATAAAATTTAAGTGATTAGCTGGACGATCGCTAATATAAATTCTCATGCTGCTTCTAATTTTATCAACAAAGTTGGCAATTTTTTTGCTTCATGTCCTTAATAGCAATCCTAACCTAAGGAGAACTATGTAAATTTCTGACAGAAATATCTTAGAATGCTATGAATTATATTCAGCAGAACTTTTTTTATTTGGTATACAATTAAAAAATGTCGATTATAAGATAACCCCTATTATTCAAACGAAAAATATGTTATAATTGTTAATGTATGTTAGGATTGTTATATTGTGAGAGCACAAAAATACTGTAAATATTTACTCATTACTAAAAAACATTGAACTAATTTTTCTTTTAAGTATAATTTATCAGGAGTCTGACAGATTATTTAATAATTGGTATGTTCTAGGATTGCTTTAGTTCTGCTCCAAAATTCTTCAACTTTTGAGGAGTTTGACGGATGTTAATTAATTAATAGTTGAATTTTCGATGGATTCAATTCATAATTTTAACACAAATCAATATTTTTTTTACAGAAAATTAAACTGCAATAAAAAAGTTAAAATCTTACAGAAAAATTATAATACAATTCGTCTAGCAGTGAACTGATTGCTAAGACACGGTTTCCGGCAGATCACCGAAGTCAAGCATCACTGGCTGCGGTCAGTGTGCGGGTGGGTAATCACTTGGATCAGTCTGCGTAGGGACCGAGGGTGTGCAGTATTGGTCCTCCTTAAACTTTTCTACCGTAATGTACTAGAATTCTCACATGGGTCGTCCGCCTATTAAAATGGGAGATCAATCCCCTCTGCAGAGGACCAAAATTGAAATGACATGTCTTCGGATCATCCTCAGGGATGCTTCCCATACCATCGCCAATGGCCCATTGTGCTGCTGTAGTGCGAAATAAGTGAACTACAGTAATACAATTCAGGATTTTTATAAATTTAGGAAACATTCTTACTGAATGTGTTTTGATCGTTCTACTTTATATACACCATTCAAATTCTCAATTTATAAATGCATATTTTATATACATTTTTATTTTGATAAAAAAAGTTGTAAAAAACACTGTTTTGTAATTGAATGAAAGTTTTGTATAAAAATGAAAAACATATGATTTCTGCATAAAATCGTTTATTTATAACAATAAGAGAAATAAAGAATATCATATCCACTCTTCTCTTAAAAGGAAAACTGATTTTAAAATTTTCAGTTAGTTTATTTTCTTGAATAAGTATTTTAAGCCTGAATGTTCCTAAATATTTCGAAGTTCTCTTACAGTATGGTTAAAATTGCCATCATGAAATCTTTTTGCAAAAATAACAGTTTATTTTCATTTTGTTAAAAATGCTAGCACAGCAGAATTGTACTCTTGAATTGAGTAAATTTATAAGAAAATTAAAATTTCAATGCTGGGGAACTATACCTATCATATATTACTTTGGAATTTTTTTTTATCTTCTTTTATCACTCTTTGCTGTTATCAAAACTGCTAGTTTCCACTTTTCAAAAAATAAGCAAAACTTGATGTATTTTTGAAATAATGCTGCTTTGCAAAATTTCTGAGACTTAAGATATCAATATTAAGGGCATTCCATAAGAACTGAGAGTCGCAAAACCACGAAATTAAGAAAAATAATAAAGCTGTCAATTTTTCAAAAGTATTTAAATGTTCATTAAAGTTCTAAATGAAGCTGAATATTTTATTTTCCTAGTTTCATATTCATTTAAAGAACTGTTTTTAATTGCTCTACAGAAATAGAGTTGAATGGGTCAGAGTTAACAGTAGAATGTCACTACTTCTGTTTAGCAATATTTTTATAAATCCAATATTAAAATTATGCCATATCTTCCTTTCAGTTCTGATCTCACACCATGCGATTTCTGGCTGTTTCTGATGTTGAAAGAGAAGTTCCGTAGAAAATTTTTTTATTACAGATTCTGATGTTATTTGAGCAATGCAGTGCTCCTTAATTCAGCTTCTTTACTTGTTTTGAAAAGCGGTGAATGATGGGATTGTTGTATATCAACAGAAGGAAGGTATTTTGAATAAAAACTATTTATATCTGTGATGTAAATGTATTACTTGGTTTTTTATGATTTTGCTTTCAGTTTTTGTGGAATGCATTTTGTATATTGGTACAATATAAAGAAAAGACAAATGTTTTCAACTATAAAGATGTATTTAATTTCACAGGTTTAGCGAATTACTTTTTTAAAATTTATTTAATAATTAATTTATATTTTGTTTCAAATTCTGAAATTTTTGTGTACTTAATTGGAAAAATTAAAATTGTGCCTGTTTTAAAAGATAGTCTTTTTTTTATGTATGCAATTTGTTATGTTGTCAATTTTAAAAAATTCTAGCATGTTTCTAATTGACTTTCTAATATAGAATTGAAAAAATTTTTGCTCTAGGAGTTGGTTGATGATGGTTGCAATGATGAAATTTAAGTTGCTCTTTCTAGTACAGAAGTCACCCTTTTATAGGCTTCTAGTACTAAATGAAGTTTCTTTTGTGAAAGGAATTGAAAGATTTGCACTTTATTAAAAATTTTTTAATGCTTCAGAAGGAAGCATTAAGATATAAAATTCATTTTATATTTTATAAAAATTCATATTATAAACATATCTTTGCTTTAATTTAAATGTAATAATCAAAACAAATTTTTGTATTTTGTTTAATTAGTTTTGTAATTTTTGTATTACTCCATATGATATTTGTCGTGGGAAATACATTTAGTTACCGAATGTTCAACGAGTTAAAAATTAAATTTTAAGGGAACTGGAAAAATATTCTTTAAAGCAGAGTTTACAACCTATGCCTTGCAAGTCAATTGTATTTCAGTAAACAAGGCTAAATTGTCTTAAACATTGATAAAAACATGAAAGCAATGAAATAACAAGAAAAACTTTTTTTTCAACTGTGCTTTATAACATTCAAATGTATCTAGGTTAATTGTTTTCAGTTGCAGAGTATCAGATCGTATTTGATTTGTTTATGGCAGTACGTTCAGTGATACCAGAGTAATATAGTTTCTTGTGAATTTACGAAAAAAAAACTGAAAAAATATCTTACTGTAAGTCTAAAATAAAATTTCAAAATTACAATCATAGTTATCTCCTTATGTTACTATTTTTATAGTTGTAAAAAATTTTGCTTTCTAAAAAATTTCTTAAATATTTTTTTAAAGTAAATCAAAGTATCTGATGGCTTTCTTTATGCCAATACATTCAGCATTGGTATAATTTATTTTATAATTTTATTTGTAATCTTGTAATTAAATTCATATTACCATATATTTGTAAGTAAGCGTTAATTCCCATAAATTTCAATATTTTTAACACAATATCGTTACGAGCAATACTTTTGAAATGTCATAATTAAGTAATTATTTTTTAACATAATTTCATTTACAATGATTTCATCGTAAAGTCTTGTAATCTTATTAATTGTTTTTTTTTCGGCAGTAATTGTTTAAAATTTTCTGAAATTTTGATATTTTTAATAGTACAAAACTATTTTGATGGGGGTATTAAACTAATAACTTTGGGACGCATTCAAATTACAACAATTTCAACCAAAATCAAAGTTGCTTTTTATCATTTGCTTGGCAGTTATTTCTATTGATTTCCAACTGGTTTTCAAAATAGATTTTTTTTATGCAATAATATTGCAGCACATGAATTTCTTCATCTTATCCCTTATTTGAAATTGATGTACGTATTTAATTTTTTTCTCATCAATAATTGAAAAATTTGTGCGCATTTCTGCGGTTTTCAGATTTTAGTAGTCCCGATTTTCGAGGCTATACTGTATTACTTTAAATAGAATTGAGATATCTAGTGTATTTTTTTATGATATCATTTTCTTACTTATATTAGCTTCTACTTGTTGTTTCCAGTTTTTGTGGCCCACTGTATAAAAGAGGTTGTGTGCTATTCATTTCAATAAAATATCAGCATATTTATTTTCATTTAGAGAAGTATCGTTTTCACTATATTTTGTAAAATATATATATTTATATGTATATGTATATTTATTATCATTTAAATTAAGAATACTTCGTATCATCCATTACTTTAATATATTATTAACAAAAATAAAAACTTGTCAAATAAAAAAGCTTTATTTTCTTAAAAGATTTTTTTTTTTTAGAAAATTGTTAGTTTCTTAGTATTATTAAGTTTTGGTTTCGACATTGCCAAGGTATTTCATTTCAAATTGCAATGAAAAAATTTACTCAAAGATAAAATTAGTTGCTTTTGCGACAAAAAAAAAAAAAATTAAAGAAAATAGATTTATAAACATTTGGGTTGGGGGAATTGTATAGATTTGAATAGGCAATTGAAAACTTTTTCCTCCAAACGCATCCGTGATTGCCGGGAATTTTCGTTGGAGGACATTCTCTTTCGATCAATTTCTGTGTGTGATTTTGCCAGAGCATTTGGATTATAGCTGAAGCTATATTGGGAAGATTCGAAACAACAGCATAGAATACAGACTTGTCAGCATTCAAGTTTTATTTTCATGTTGTACAGGACATATATTTTTAAAAATTTGTTTAAATTACTTTTTTAGTTTTCTTTTATCTTTTATTTTATTCTTCTTTGTTCCACAACTAGGATGGTAAAAAAAAAAAAAAAAAAAAAAAAAAAAAAAAAANAAAAAACATGAGCCTGGTAACACCAGATATCTAAATAGACTTTGGAATGGTTAAAACTTCTTTCATATTGTTCTTTTTTGCCTCCCTTCCAACCCTTAATTCTCATTAGTGGTTGTAGTACCTTAAAAAGTAATACAATATGCCTGATTTGTTTTTAATGCTGAAAATTTTTGTTATCTGATAGGTCGCATGCTATATAATGCTGTACTTGATCATGAATCTGATGATGCTTTGAAACCAAATGCAAGCCCTTTTGATCATGAAGAAGATAAAAAAGAGGATAATTTCCAAATTTCTTAAGATAGGTAAGTAAAAAGTTAGTAATTTCTAAATTCTTATCATACTATATCGTTAAAAAAATATATTTCCTGAAGCATAATAAAAGTTAACTTTTGGGTAAATGAAATTCTCTTTCCTTCTCTTGTATACTTTTAAATTTGTTGCAATAATTTTTAATCTTGTACCTAAACTCAAATAATTTTATCTTAATTATAGTTATGCAGTTGTAAGTCATAACATATTTTTATAATAACAAGTTTACGTTAATTGTGATTACTTCATCATGGTTTTTTTCTTGCATTTGAGACCTATTGTATTAAAATTATTGCCCCAATCTTGTTGAAATTATATAATAGTCAATATTTTTATGAAGAGAAGCATTGTTTTCAAAATATTATAAAGAATGCTATCTTTATTGACAGTTAAAATATTCAATACATTTTGTTTCATCCATTGCTTCAAATTAAACATTAAATTGTCAAAAAATCATGGCAAATACTACTTCATGAAAATTTCCATTGTTGCTTTCCTTAAAGAATGTTTAAGACTTTCAAATTGGTTATGGTGCACAATCTGTGGCCCTCGACTGTTGATTTGCATTTTGTGGCAACACCTGATCATAATAATAATTAAAAAAATTTATTTGTAGTCTAATAAGCCACAAAACCTCAGTATGAATTTACACTAATTTTCAAAAAGACAAAAATGAAGTTCAGTGGAAATTCGTTTTTTTAATAACACGTAGATTAGCAAATAGACCTAATCCAATCTGACGAACAGTGTAACAGAAATGCAACAAAAAGAATGCTCATGATCTGCCAGCAACAAATGAGAAACTTTGAGGAATAGGCATAGTACATTACATCACCTACATAAGTTAAAATGTATGAGACAGCATCATCTCACAAAAAAAGGTACAATTTTCTTTTATAATCAATCATCTAACAATAAAACCCAGAAAAACACTTTATTTATATATATCTAAGAACTGTAATTTTTTTATAAAATCAATGAAATAAAATAAAGTGGAAATTGTAAATTGAACATTTGAGTCTTGACTTTTTGATGTGCTTAAAATATAATTTAGGTGGCTTTACAGTAGCTTTTTCATGGTTATTGATGCAAAGTTTTAAAAAGGATTTTAAAGTCCCAATATTGTTTTTAAAAGATTTTATTATGATACTCTAATTTTGAATTGTGTATTAAGATAATCACTTTTAGACATGGTATATTTGTGCCAATTTTATTTCAAAGAGGGGGAATTTTTATTTCCTTTTTTTGGGGGCAAATATTGCTATGGATTTCCGTGAAGTTTTTAAATCCTGATATTTTTAATATTATTATGTTCAAATTGCACATTTTAATTATCACTTTTTGAAATGTTATATTTGTGCTAATTATATTGTAAATCCAAGTTATTGTATTTTCAATAATTTTTGTTTAACATTTCCGAATGGTTTTGAAAATTCTGATATTTTGTCTGAACCAAATTGATTATTGTGAACCAAATTGATTATTGTAAACCAAATTGAATTAGCGTAGTCTAAACACTTCTGATTTTTTTGAAATTAACTTTTATATTTAATTAAATAGATATTTTTGTTTTATCGGTTTATGAAAATCTTATGAGAATTATAAAAAATTCTCATGGATTATTGTGAGTTTTAGCTCTGCATGATGTTTATTTTATTTATTTTTTAAAGTAGTTAATACTACTTTAAAATAATTTATGTCATGTTAAGGAATTACTCTGTTACTTTTTTAAATAACTAAAGTTATTTTATTTTTATTGTGTTAAAAGTATTTATACCAGAACAGATTTCCAGTTATCATACTGTATTTATTTATTTTTTTAATATTTTTTTCTGAACGATTAAAAAATCATTTCATATTATTAAACATTTGTAAGTTTTAAATAGCTTTTTTTTGTAGAAAATAGAAATTTTTGTTTTTATTAATAGTTATTATTTCACGATAAATTTAACATAGTGATAATAAAAATAAAAGAGTTAATTTATTGTATAAATTGACGTTTGAAATCGATTTCAGTTTTAACATAAATTTACACACATAAATATAAATTTACTGTGTGAGATAAATTTACATAATTTTACAGTATAAATTTACATACATATATTTGACTTAAATATACACTATGTTCAAATGAATACAATTCTTTGTGAGTTTTTTTTAAAATCTTGATTACTTTTCAGCATTCTGACTAAAAAAATTAAATAATAATTAATTTTTACAAAAAATAAAAAAAATGTTTGTGAATCAATTTTAAACATAAAGTTTTAAATAAAAATTTAAAGTATTTTTTAAATAATTTGTGAAATCAGTGATAATGCAAATAAATAAATTTTAAATTAAAAAAAAGGTAATATTCTACTGAATTAAAATTTGAAATATGTTTAAATATTATTCTTCGCAGAAAACTGTCAAATTGCCATGATTTGAGAGGCACTCCTCTTTTTTCCACTTATAAACTATAACCACTTTTGGAACATCCAAATTGGTGCTGCCTTTTTGTAAAGTCTACTTGAGAGCAATTAGGTTTGATCATTGAACTCTGTGAGATGCAATCAGATTTGCATTGTTCAAAAATGTTAAAACGAAGTTTTTGAAAACTCATTTACAATTATTATTTTATGATGGTATACAGTTTTCTGCAATTTGTGTGGGGGCAATTTGTCCAGCTATGAATAGTTTAAAATTTATTTCAGCTCAAAGTCATCCTGTGTTGCTTTATTTTGGTGCACCAAATGATGAAGAAAATGTCCAAGATTAGTGTGTATTTAATACTTTAAAAAAAAAAAAATGGAATGCTTTTCTATATAAAAGTAAAAGTAAGGTATTTTGCTATAATGAACAGTTTTTTTGGTTCTGATAACTAAAAAAAACTTAACAGAAAAATGTGTATTAATGCCTTAACACATTTGACCATGTCTGACATGGGGGGAAATTACCGGCCAATTTGTACATGCCTGTGTCTCACACAGGCAATCTTGTATCTCGCATTATTTTATTTCTAATACCCGCCTGAGATCTGTTCTAGTAAAAGTGGATAGGCTAGATTATAATTAAATTTATTTACCATAGATGACACCACTATGCAGTATTTTTCTTGTGATAACCACGCCGTGCATTTTGATGGTTAGCTATTTGATACATTGATTTAATTTTATTTTATGTTTTTAAATTCAAGATAAACCTGTAATCAATTTGTTTAAACTTTGTTTGTACTGTAATTTTTTATTACTTTTACACCCACCCCTGCTCCCCCACAATTGAAATTTAAAAAAATAACTTGCACTATACCTATATATTCATTTTCTTTCCAATTTTTTTTGTCTTCCAGTTTTTCCAAAAACAAATTGTGCTTTAAAGGGTTAAGTTACAAGTTGTTAAAATTACTCATTCATATATATGACTCTAGAGATTGATTTTATCAAATTTTTGACAATTGTATATCAAAGCTTAAAAATAAATAATTGCTCTTTTAGGTTATTAATAACTATTGTTAAAAAGCGTCAAACAGATTTTTTTTTAAAAAATGGCATTTTTTCCATTTTGGTGGCACTATATGATAGTTATAAAGGCCATCAAATAATTACGTAATGTTTTTAAAACATCATGTGACGCAATTTCATAAATCTTGTCTGCATTTTTTTTTCTTCCTTTCTTTTGATTTTATTCTTGTCTGCATTTTTTTTTCTTCCTTTTTTATTTTATTCTTATCTGCATTATTTTTTCGATTGTGCAATTGATTATATTCTTGTCTGCATTGTTTTTTTTTATACAGTTAATGGTTGATATATAACTCCTTGACGAGGAAATGAGCAAAATGAAAAAATCCTTAGTAAGGCCTTGGCTCACAAGGGGCTATTGAATCAGCAAAGGAAGTAAATGGAGGTTGATATGCAATCAAAATTCTTGATTGTGTTAGATGACACTGGAATAGCAGGTATTATTATTTTTTTTTACGTGAGACGTATCAACACTCAACAATATAATGCAACATACAATAAACAGTCTTTTGACCGGTTATGGTACGTTTAGTGTTAAATTGGAAAAACAACATGATTGTTTTGAATGTAAATACAGTACAGAACCCGTTATCCGGAATTCAAAAAACCGGAAAATCAAAAAACCGGAATGAAATTCGATAAATCACCTCCCCCCCATTTTTTTAAAAAAAAATTTTTTTTCTTCATAAGATTTTCGGATTTTTATTTCTTTTTTGAAAGATGCTACCTTACCATCATTTTGGAAATAATCATTAGTGTATTACTTCATTGTTTTTTCTTCTTTTTAAGATTATTTCCATTTTTTTTTTCTTTTTTTAGTTGGGTTTAACAAACGGCTTTTTGTAGCGATTCAGAAAACCGGAAAAATCAGTTATCCGGAATAGCGATGGTCCTGATCGTTCCAAATAATCGGTTCCCTACTGTACTTTTGTTGGCATTTCATCCGGAAGAAACTGGACAAAATTTCAGAAACTAAAAAAAAAGCTTTAAAAGTATTATAAGAATAGCTTGAATTTTAACAGATGAAAATTAATATAACACTAGAAAATTAGAAGTTTTCACCTACTTTAAAAAAAAATTATAAATGAGTTAAAAAATCTTGGTATGTATCTTATTTTTTTTATAGTCAGTTTGAGTATTTATACTTCACATTTTCCTTGCGACAGGTATAGCATATGTGTCAGTAAAAAAACTCCTGTTATGGCACTGGATCGGCATTTGTAACACTTCTCCCGATACTCATTGACTTTCATCAAACCTGTCGTTTCTATAAGAACCTCCTTTGATCAGGTCCTATTGTTGAAAAAAAGAGTGAATGTGTGTTTACTTTCTATTTAAATTCACTGAAATTTTTTTCTTTTTATTAGGAATCGGCGTGTTTTAAAGGGTTTGAATTTCTTTCATTTTCTTTGTAGTATATATATTCATAGGAGACCTTTAGCAACTTTTTAAGGAATTGTTGAATCAAATTCGACTCTATTTTGTTGCTTTTTGATTTAAATTTCTATGTTAGTTTTGTTTCAATTTTGATAAATTTTTCTCTAAGTTTTTGTTACTTTTTTGTTTGTATTTTTGTTTTGGTAGTTTTTTTGTTCATGTTTTGTTAATTTTTTTTAATTACCTGAAATGACATATTTAGCTAAGCTGAACTTTCAGTGGTTAGATAAATACTCTTTTCATATTTACACTCAGTGTACTGATTACTGTAAAAACAGTTAAAAACTCTTAGGGAAAAATTTCATATTCCATAATTTACCAATTCTTTGTTTGGCAATAAAAAAAATTTATCACTGAATAATACTACTCATTAAAATACTACTAACAGATAAAGTATTACTCAAGAAATAAACAGCATTGAATATTTGTTTGTAATATAAAGTTAAATCGATATTTAATACATGTTTGTGGTAGATAAAGTATTTGGTATTGTGGGCTAAAAAGAGCTTTTTAATATTACAAAATTCTGTAGTTTGGTATTTGACAATATTTTTTTAATATTTTATTTGTTTGTTTCAATAATTTAGCAACATTATTAAACATTAATTTATCACAAATTTTCATTTCATTCTTATAAATATTGTGGTATTTGTATACATAGACCTGGTTATAATTTGGTTTTGTTATGACTTTGAATTCAACTTTTCGATATTTTACTTTGACTAAACTTTGCATCCTCTAGTTATAGTTGATAGTGTAGAGTCCAGCCGATCGTAACATGGCCTACAGCTTTTGTTGTTCACCTCATTGCTATAACGAAACCCAGCAGATCTCATTCAAAAGGTATGTGGTGTTGTTGGCTGCTGATGTGTTACAACACTTTTTATTATTTTCATATTTCTTTGTATTATTCATTGTATTCTTTATATCATATTTTATAACACACACACAGATATATATATATACAGAGATGATTGTGCTCTGGAAAAAATATGGATTTCCGAATTTTTCGCTAATTGCGATCTGAAAGTTTTCGGAAATCCAAGGTCCATAGGTTTTAAGAAATCAACCATCACATTTATGTATAAAAATTCATGTATAAATTTTACAAGCACTCGTTGCGACGCACGCGGCTCCTGTTATTGTACACAACAAGTATATTCTAGTAAAATATATTCTTTATTTGTACCTGAACTTGTATAGTTTTGAAACATAAGTAATTGTTTTTATATGTAAAAATTAACAGTTGTCGTGTTTGTAACCACAACGTTGTTCAATTAAATCTTTACAAACGTNAGATATATATATACAGAGATGATTGTGCTCTGGAAAAATATAGATTTCCAAATTTTTCGCTAATCGCGATCTGAAAGTGTTCGGAAATGCAAGGTTCACAGGTTTTAAGAAATTAACGATCACATTTATGTATAAAAATTCTTGTATAAATTTTACATCGCAAGCACTCGTTGCGACGCACGCGGCTCCTGTTATTGTACACAACAAAACGTCCCTCACTTAAAAAACAGGCCTCAAAGATTAGTTTTAGATGCTAAGTATATTCTAGTAAAATATATTCTTTATTTGTACCTGAACTTGTATAGTTTTGAAACATAAGTAATTGTTTTTATATGTAAAAATTAACAGTTGTCGTGTTTGTAACCACAACGTTGTTCAATTAAATCTTTACAAACGTTCTAAAATAACAATTTGTTCACATCCATTTATGTGGGCGTAAAGAATGGAATCGTTTGTACAATCGTTGAATTGAATCTAATTGTTTAAGAAAAAAAGGTACTTGTTCCATATTTTAATATGATCTGGATCTAATCATTTACATTTTTTAAATATATTCGATACATATTGAATGCGGTTTAAGCTTTCATAATAAGAAACTCAAACATTGCATTCATTATTAGGTTTAACTATTTTTATTCCTTACAACAACACTGTAAATGATCTTATGGCCAATCATTCCTCTATAGGCTAATTCTAAGCATTAACACTCGTAAACAGAGTTATACTATTGAGCGATTTTAAATCCTTAAAATGATTTTCAAAATCTTTTATTGGTTGTTGTTAGTCAATGTTTATGAAATTAGATACTGTGAATAGTGTGTTTTAAAATGTTTATATTTTAAAAATTATGGAATCAAAAAAATTCATGGGCTTATATTCATTACCAATTCTTTGTTCAATATACCATCTATATTTCAAATCATTTTTGAATAGTCTCACCAAATTTGTTTTTGAATAGTAATCTTAAACTCGCAATCATATAGAATGGGATTACTTTAAAGCAACTACTGCTACTGGTTTAAAGGGCTAAAATTATTGCTATTACAGAATTATTACTTTATAATAATTATGTTCAACGAGTTCAAGAAATGAGATTTTAGTAGGAGTTCAAAAAATTTTATCACAAGACCAGCAGTAACTGGGCTACATGGAGCCGAGCTAAAGAGGTTAAAGTTTGAGTTCTAATGCAGTTTTTTGACAGTGTCAATCCACCCTCTACTTTGGGGGACCAACTTCTCAAAATCCAATTTAGGTTATTCTAACTTTCACTACTTAAGTTTTCTTACAGTTGTGACAGCTAAGTAAATACAATAAAATTATTTTTTAAAGATATTTTTCTCCTAAAACAGTATTTTTTACCATTATATATATTCATAATATTTTTTACTTGTGTATTTAGTAGTTAATTAGCCTCAGTTTCTTTTTGTTTTATAAATTGTCAGTTTCTTTTTGTTTTATAAATTGGTGGTCTATACAAATAAAAAGGTCTAAAACTGTTGCATTAGACAATTGACAGATATTAACTTTTTTTTGTCCTAATACGATCTATAAAGGATGATCTGTAAACAACTCACAACATATTTTTGCAAAAATGTTGTATGTCTAATTTTCAAAAAATCTGCTTTTTATGGATTTACTAGATCAAACTAGTAACTTTTCTGTGAATAAAAGTTTTATTATGTTCATATAGATTGTAAAAATGAAAATTCTGTAGTTCTGAAAAATTGCAATAAATGCTCTGAAAAGTGCTGCCAGTTTCATTTTTTTGTGCATTGAAAATTAAGAATCTTAATTTTCTTTAATAATGGATCGAATGTATTAGTTAGAAATATACCTAATACCCAGTCACTATCTATAAGACAAATCCAAAGATTTATAATTCAAAAAATAACATTTTATTTATTAGGATTTAAATAAACTGTTATTGAGTTGAATTTTGGGCAATTCTAAAAGTTTATTATTAAGACTTAAATGTCTAGGGCAGCTGTTCCCAATTTTTTTTCGAATATAAAATTCTGAATGACCAATCTTCTTATGGCGGAACCCCCAGCATTATGATAAAAAAAAAGTTTATTAGCAGGCTTAAATATACTAACAAAAAAAGAGACTACTAATTATTTTGAATTTATTTAATGCTCGGTTAAGATTAGTGTGTAAAATTAGCAAGTTTATTTGTAAAAAACTATTTTTTAAGGTATTTATAGAAAATGTTAGCCGTAATTTTTGTCACTGCATAAATTTACTCTTAATTTGTCAAGTTGTTTTCAATTTGGAATTAAACTTAATTCTTGACAGAGCTTAAATTTTATATTTGTATTATGCTCCCACCTTTTGAGAACTTCCCTAACATGTTGACATAATTTCAGTAAAAATAAAGACAAGTCCCGACAATGTTAAATGAATTTATTTTTAAACTACAAATTTGTTACAATACACATTTTGTAACCAAAATACATTTACATCAAAATATGTACCACAAATATATATAATTTTTTTTTCATCTAACAAGCATCAAAATGTACATTTACAGTTAGAGTTCTACATGCTACCCTCATGAATAGTGCACATTATAAAGATCATGAACAATTTTAAACTAATTGAATTAATAAAGATTGTTTCAGTTTCTTTTTTAGTAACATACTTTAAGGCTATTTGAAGAGTTTATATAAGAACACGTTAAGTGAAACATTAAAAAAAATTTGAGTTTTTTGTATGTATGTTATGGCTGGTTGTGCAAGTATAGAACAATAAATTCATTTACTAAGTTTTTAAATAAAGAATTTTTATGAACAGATTTCATTTGTTAGTGAAAACATTTCCTAGGAGTTTATGTTATTGTTGGTATAAAATACTAGCATAGAACAAAAATTTAGATTTTAAAAACATTTTAGATTTATTTTTCGAAATGCTGTAAGCATCGAACACTAATTTTTTCTGAATTTCTAAATTAATAAATATGAGTTTATAAGAAAGTTTTATTTGTTTGCATACATTCCAAAACTAATTTTCTAATATTCGCTTAACATATTCTTTCACTAAGCTCTTCATTTATTAATAAACATGTTAATTGGTTTTGAATTATTGATATGTTTATACACAGATGAACATAAAGCTGCTACATAAGTGATAATTATCTGCATTTCATAGCAAAATATTAAATACAATATTTCTAAATTATTTGCTTTGGACAAGGACTTTGTTTTTATGGCTAAATAACTATTTTACAACTTATTACTGTTAATATCTATACATTCGTTAATGCAAAATAGGCTTTAGTTTTTTCCACTTAAGGTTAGTTTTTATGAAGTTCAACTGATGTTTATTGACTTTTAATTTGTGCAATTTCACACAGTTCCTGCAAATATTAACCGACTAAAATTCGTGAATTGTTAATATTTAAACATGTTAATACTATTCATTCTAGGGTGAGTTATTTGAATTTTAAACTTCATTTTTCTGAACTAAAATAATGAAATGCACACATTTTACAGATTTATTTCAACAACTTGAAATTTTAAAACTTGAGAAGTCAGAAAGAAATACCAATGTTAAAAAAAAATCAATGTATTTTAAATACAGAGATGAAATACTTTAAAATAACCGCATTCAAATCTTAAAAGACACAAATAAGATAAAACAGTTAAGTTTGAAACTTGAAAAAGCCCCCAATACCCACAATATTCTTTCACACATGAATTGAAATGAATGAAAATTGAATATATGAGGCACATGAAAAATGAATAAAAGCAAGATTTTTTTATAAAACGTTGTGAAATAAGCAGTTTTTATTTTAGTATATATATAAAATAGCTCGTACAGCAGTAGTTAATAGCATAATGCTTTAGAAATTACCTGTAAATGATTGTCATGTTGCGACAAAGTGAGCATAGTTTCAGCCAAATTCTATTTCTAGGCAGTGTTTTGCCAGCAAAAAATGAGTTATAGATGATTTTGGAGAGCCCTTTTGTGGCATAAAATAATACTTTTAGTGAATACTGTCAATTTTATAAATGTTGTACATTCACAACAGTTTCACATTATTAAAGATTTATCCATCTATCAGTAATCAGTGCAAAATTTCCAAAAAATGATTATTCAGTTTTTAAAAAATACATGATCTCATTGTAAAAATACTTCTTCACAGCATTGTTCTGGTTCATAAAAATATGCATTATTCATTGATTTTAAGGCTGTTTTTTTAAGGCTTTGTTGTCACATGAAGTAACGTTTCTTATAAGTGTTGAGAGTTTGTAACAGATATTTATGACTGTTAAGTTAGGTGAATCTTTAGCCAGTGCCCTTATAATTATGAAACTAGTGCAAAAATCCAAATTGAAGAAAAGCCACGGTTTCGTGAATTGGAAAAGTGCTTGGGGTTTAATTTTTCAATATTTCAAACGTGCTGCATTGTCTTAGATCAGAAAAAAAACTTACATTTTATTCATTGATTTAATGCATTTTATCTAATAGGAAAAATCTCGCACAAATCAGTTCTTTATTTTTTTTAAAAAGTTAAATAATTTTTTAAATTTTTTTTTACTATTTTTCTATTTTAATGTTTTAATTGTATGTAATAATATTAAACATGGTTTAAAATTTTAGCTCTTGCTTTAAGTTTAAGGCATTTCTTTTTTTTTAAAATTATTTTCCTTGGCTAGAGTTTAAGAAGAAACTCATTTAATGATTCTCCTTTTTTTGGGGGGGGGGGGGGAATCTCGACAAATAGGCGTTTTTTTTTCTGAAAATATTATTTATTTAAATATTTGTTTTTAAGTCCAACCAATTCTTTTCACATCGACAGTACGCATAGAATAAAATTATACATCTTCTTTGAGTTTAAGGCACTCAATCTGTGGCTTCTTAATTTCCTTCTGTGTAAGAACTTTTGCTTAGGTGGGTATCATTATACATACGGTGATGTCATTATACATACCTTTTCACTGGCAAAACAAAGCCTTGTGTTATGATTGGCTTTAAACTAGACTTATAGACGGTAGCAAAATTAGTATGTTTCTGCTATTGGAGGAATTATGTTCCTGAGATTCAAATATAGTATTCAAAATGTTAAAAAAAGGAAAAAATATTCATTCTAGAAAACATGCATAAAAAATTCATTGGAAGTGAATGCACTGTAATTGGCTGGAAAGACTGGATAGAATTGTTTGTAGGAAATTTTTTTCTAATTAGTTAAAATATTTAAAAAGAAATCAATGACTTAGTTTGAAAATGATTTCTATTTAATTCTAAATGAAATGATTAAGAAGGGAAAATCTCTAATGAGTAAAATTATTCTGAAATAAACAATGTATAATATCTTATTAGTGAAAATGATTTAAAAGGGATTTTCTAATTAGTTAAAATGATTATTAAAAGGAACATTTACTTAATTCTAATAGTAAATATGAATAAAAAATAAACAATGAATTCCCACACACTACGCAAAAGCTAAATAATTTATATTATGTACTAATACTTTTTAACTTTTACATTCTAGAAAGTTTATATCTTAACAAATAACTGTTAGTTTTATAAAAAGTATGTAACTTCAAGAAAATTCTGTATTTAGTTGTATCATAGAAGTGATCTAACATGTAATTGATTGCATTCATTCAACATTATGAATTGCATGAACATGTATTCGAAAGCATATTCTTTAAATATGCAAGCAATGAAATGAAAATGAAAAAAACATCCTAATATGAAATATGCATATTAGATGTTCATTTGCTATTTCAAAAAAATTATTTTTTAATTTATAGCTGCTAGATAATCTATTATATTAGAATATATTTTGTAGTAAATTTAAATGCATATATTACTTATATATAAGAATATTGGTATGAATATTTAACAGTAATTATTGACACTTGTAACACTATATGCAATGTTTCATGAAACAATATTGCAAAAAAATGATGTACCTTTTAGCATACTTTTTAAATTACTACTATATAACGTATTCAAGTATATTTACTTGTAAAATATTTTCCTTTTGATTTTTTTTTAATGAAAATAAATGATAATTTAAGAAAAATAGAAAATAAAGTACTTTTAAAAAGTGAATGAATAACAAAAATATATATTTGTTAGGTTATTGAAAAATTCATGACCTGAGATAGTAAATATATATTATATATTTCATACAGCTATGGTTTATAAGCATATTGAATCCATTATGTTGAGTTCACTATTTCAAAATCAAAAATAAGTTATTTTTTTGTCTACCACTTTGCTATTAAGGAAATATTACAACAAGATAATTAAAACATTCAAAAGTAGAGTTAATACAGATATGACAGAGCTATTAGTTATTTTTAATTGTTTAACAACATCGTTCACTACACTAAGTCAAAAAGAAAAACATGATGAAAGAGAGGTTAAAACACATTTGAAAACATAAATAGTAGCATTCATAGCTTTTTTTTTATACAAGCAATAACTTAATTTTAAAATGAGCACCTTTTTCTAGTTGAGTAAAAATATACTTCAATATATTATATTATTCAATATTTATTATTATGGTTTTAGATATTTTACTCTGAAGGCTTCTTTATGTGCTTAGCAATAAATAGTTCGAATTAATCATTTAATTATTATTAATATTGAATTAAAAACTGCATTTGTGGATGAAGGCGCAAGTACTGTAAGAGGTTATAAAACAAACCGTTCTTAATTTCAGACAGTACTTGCGTGGTTCAAAACAAACATACCAACTCTTTTATTATGTCACTTGCAACGCAACGTCAGAGTTTGACTTGTATTTAGAACTGTACAATAAGGCTGGATTAAGCTTCAGAAGTAGAGCCACGACTCGGATTTCAGGCTCGGAAGTGCTGAATATCCAGTCAATATTTCCAGGAAGGAAAAAAAAGGGAGAGGGTGGGACGTTCATAATACATAAAACTCTGGAAACTATTTACATTGAATGAAAAAAAAGAAAGCTAATGATAGAACGAAAACTCGTGCTATGACTTGGAATCTACAGTTTGGGCACACACTCTGGCATGGACTCTGAGGAACTCAGGTTGGTCTGGAACTTCCATTTTCTTTGTTTCCAGTTCTTCCTGCTACGAGAAGAATAAACAAAGATTAAAATTGAAATGTACTCCAAGTTCAACTACTCCATTGTTAAAATTATATGGAAAAGGCGTGTTTTGGAGCATTGGTGTTTTCTACCTGCTACAGAGTTATAAATTTTACATCTCAGGAAAAACAGAAATAAAATTTATGTTCTAATGTATTTAGTAAAGCTAGTGGGTTCAACTTACTGTGTTCGCTGCAGCTCCCCAAACCCCAAAGATTGACATGCAATCTTTTATGGTTTGCTTTGTAAGCCATGCTCACATGCGTTGAACCCATTTAAAATGTGTTCTATTATTAAGATTTTAATTTTTATAATTAAAGTTTTTATAACTATTTCCTCTTCAAAAAATTAAAAATTTTACTCAATAAGTTACTAAAGTAAAAAATAAACTGAAATAAATGACATGCAATAGAAAAACTTGCAAACACAAATAAGAATAATCATGCTTTTGCATGTATAAAACAACATGTATGACGGGATATGTCTTATGCATTCTTTCAATGCATAGGACTGCATAACTCGTATCACTTGCATAGTCTTTTATAATTATCATCAATGCTTTCTTTTGCTCATTGCCCACATTTTTAAAATTTTATTTAAAAAGGCTAACAGTGCAATTAATGCTCATTTTTAAAATTTTTGAAGCAATAACAATTTATAAGATTATTATTATTGAATTTGCATAAGCATAATTAAAATATAGTATAAAGCACTTAATTTGTTGATTTGAATTATTTACTTTTATCCTTTCTATTCTGTTTAAGAAAAAGAAATTTAGTCTTTTTTAAGTTTCAAAATTAGTTACTAAGTTCATCAACAGATGATAGCTAATAGAGAAAAACAATATTTTCAAAATAACCACTCTTTGCAGTAGAAACTATGCGCAGTCTGATATGGATAATAAGAATATTTCAGTTAGAATCAGGAATTAACAAGCAGCAGCAGAAAACATTGTTTTACAGTTCATTCATGGCGAACTTGTAACTAATATTCAAATAAATAGTGAGATATTTTTTGAAACACATCTGTAGAGTAAAAGGCTGCTTACCAGTTTGAGTTTGTTGGCTTGTTCCTCCAACTTCCTCTCCAGAGCAGATTTCTTCTGTATCTTTTCTTCTTCCAACTCCTTTTTCTTCTGATCCTCTTTGAACTTATCAAAAGCTTTGTGAAGCTCAGTCTTCTGACCTATCACACTCTTTCCACTAGAAAAAAAAATGTAATATTTAAATTTCAATGAAACAATTTTTTTTTTTTAACTGCAGCTGTATGATTAAATGTTTTAAAACAGCTAGATACAGAAACTTCATACTTTTTTAGAGTATTGGGTTGGCAAGAAAAGAATTCGGTTTATTAATGTGAAATAAACTCAAGTTTTTTTCACGCAAAAAATAAAATTTAATCAGTTAAATATCTTCCATTTTGTTCGATGACTTTTTGACATTCCGCGCTCTCGTAGAATTTCGGGTCCTTGTCAACAAAATCATGTGCGATTGGAGGTCATCGCTATTAACTGAAACTTTTACCATTAAAAAAAAACTTGAAATTAATGATAATCTGATTATGCAAGGTCGGGGCTATATGAGGGATCAAAAAAGAATTGTGTTCTACGACGACTAAGCGAAGCCTCACACATCTTCATACGAAACTACCCCATATAGCTTCAACCGTGCACCATCGGATTATCATTCATTTTCCAAGTTTACAAAACATTTAAAATGGTAAAATTTCATTCGCATGTGGTTTTTTTTGTAGATAAGGACCCGAAATCTTTGAGCACGGGATCATGAAGTTTTACCTGAAAGATGGCAAAAAAGTCATCAACAAAAATGAAGACATTTGTGACTGATTAAAGTTTATTTTTTCTAATGAAAAAATGTGAATTTTATTTCACACTAAGAAACCAAAATTACATCCTTGCCAATCCAATAATATATATTATCACAAATGTTTCTCAACTCCTAATTTAGAGGGTGCTTAGGGCAAAATTTTTTATTCCATCAGCAATAGAGATGTCCGAACTACGAAGTTGGACTAGATCAGACAATCTTTAGTAAGCCTTCCATTGTAGGTGTCTTCTGGTATTTTAATGACAGCAAATGCTTTTCACCAATTAGTCCTGCTTCCTGAACAAGAAAATCTTGAAGAAAGGGTGGTCAAATGACGTCGTAGACATTTTAAATTTAAACAATGAATTACATTTTATTTTAATCCAGCAAATAAATTATCATTGACACAAGCTAAAATAAAATTAGAATTCTTGTTGCAACGAAAATTCTAACTTTAGTTAAACTTAGCAAATTTGATTAATCTTTTCTTTAGGTAAGATAGAACAAAATACTTGAGTATTAAAAAAAGTTCTGTATTCGAAGATTATTATTATTTTTTGTAGAAGATGGGAGGGTTGAGCAGGAACTTAAAAAAAAAAAATGTGTTAAAGTCTGAAATGTTAAAGTAAAAAGTTTTCCGTAAATTATTTGTTTATTTATTGAAGGAAAATAGTTACAAAACAGATGGCATATCAACGGCCAACCATGTGAAGGTTGCAACAGAAAATTCAACTGATGTTTAAACTTGATGTAAATCGTTGGATGAAATGAGGGTTTATCCAACAATGATCTAATTCAATAGATAATTCTGAGAATTTGTTTTCTTCGGTTTCTTGTAAAAATTATTTACGCGTCTATTTAGAAAATGTAAATATTAGGTGATCTAACCAAAAATGTAGCAGGCAACAACTGCGAGGTTAGCCATCTAAAAACAATAATTTTTCGCACTTACAACAACTTAGAAATTGATGTTTTATTGCAGTCGAGAGTAGCTATGCTTATGGGTTATAAGCAATAGCTTTTACACACCAGGACTTACTTGGTCTTTTTTTTTATATATAATTTATTTCGCACATTTGAAGCAGTTAAGTGGAAAAAAAAACTATTTTAAATTCAATTAGAGAATAATTTTTTTTTTACATACAACATAATGTGACCAATTTATAGTACAGACTCAACTAAATTTACCATTCTTCCACTTTAGTAGCGGTGTAGGTCCATTTGCCTTCAAAAATGTCTGTTTTCGGGCAATTATAGTAAAATGTAACAAATGATAATTTCAGAGCAGTACTGGAATGAATTGGAGAAGTGAAGAGGTTTAGAGTTTAGTTAGGACTTAAGTTTAAAAATATCTGTTACTAGTAGGAATATTCATCAATCTACTGTGTTTCAGGATTATACCAGTTCTCTAATTCTGAAATTCGAATCTCTTTGATTACTCTTTGAAAGAAAATTTTTATTTTAATACATTTATTGTGCTTAGATTAGTAGCATAAATCGAAAAACTTTCGTACCAAATAAAACGCATGGTTATTCTGTATTTTCATAATGCTATTCTCATTACTGCTGTGAGATTGCAACTGCTATTCATCACTGTTAGGTCAAATTTAATCTATTGTTAGACAGCGTTCTTTTTTGCTTATTCTGAAAATGGCGCAAAACTTTAATATGAAAAGCCACAGTTTCATGAAAATGAAGAGCGTTCCGATTTCCTAACATTTTAAAAAAATTATAAAAATATGCAAAAATGAAGAAAAAAAAGCTGTCTAAAAAGTTGCATTTTTCGGGACATAAAAATTTTTAATAATTACGAATTATTCATTTATTTTGATAATTTTCATTAAGGCTGAAAAATCTCTACAAATTGGTGATTTTTAAAAAAGTGAAATAACTTTGTCCGTTATAAAGCCTTGTTAATTCAAGTTTATGTATAGTTCAAAATTAAATCTTTGTCTGAGGTCTTATTATTATGTTGTATATTATTTTTATTTTCCTTGGCAAAAGAGTTTTGAAAATTACTGTTATTAAAATAAATAAAGCTCACATCTTTTGGTTAAAGAGCAGCTCTCTATGTAAGTTCTGTCTTTCTGAGGATTCCATGCAAGGGTTTTGAGGTTTCTTGGGAATGACAAGGCCATCTTCTGAGAATCGAACTGCGCCATTATTCGAACAAAGCCGAGAGTTTCTTTTTTCTGACTCTTCAGAATCCCCGTAATCTGGCTCTGGAATCATACCTGTTGTTAAAAAGAAATAGAAATATTAATTTCTGAACTCATTTTTAAAAAATGAAAACATAGACAAGAAATTATCATCATAATAATTCGCTATAATCATAATAATTCCATGTAAACTCGTATCACGCTATGAGTCAGTTCATACGAAATTAAGATCTGAAACACTTGAATCGAATCACTGTTTTTTATTCGAACATCAATTACTCCAAACAGGTAGATTTTCTAGGAAGAAAGACGATTAAAAAAAATTACTTATCTCGGAATAAAATGGATATAAATTACAAACTCCATGAGTTATAAAATATTGACGAGTTTGACCGGGATAACCTGGTTGGTAGGGCGTTGGGCCCACGTCCAAGTGGTCGTGAGTTCAATCTCCGCCGGCCGGTATAGTAAATGGTAACTGGTGCACATTAAATCTGTCGGAACACAAAGTCCTCCAAGTTCCCATAACAAATCAATACCTCGGGATACTGAATTGGAGATTTTTTTAACCATCATTGAACTGCCGGTTCAAATCCGCGGATTTGTAATTTTGAATCCAATCCAGATGACAAGGGAACTCCTGGATCAATTATTGGGAGAAATTTGCCTTTGTGGGGAACTTTTTGATGGAACTAACCCGCATTTGCGTTACATGGTGAGGAATCTCCCACGGTTAGCTTGGCGGCATAGGAACTCTAAGCCATTATCCGTCTACCACTGAGGTTATTTCACGTCAGCACTGTGGGTCCGTACAAGCTGGATGCGGAATTCGTATCGACCAGCCATCGCTTTGATTCGAACCTGTTCACCGCATTGGAAGGAGAACGGTCTATCCTCTGAGCCGTCGCGGCTCTGAATTGGAGATTGATCGTTCTCTGGTTCAGGTGAAAATTTCGATCTGTGGATGTATGAATGGGTCCTTCCTTTAAAACGAGCTGTAGCGTCTGCGTGGCTGAAGTTGATTCTTGGACATAGATGGCGCCACTGAAAATCAACAAATGCACACACCGTCTTAAATTCGCTTGATTTCACCAAGCGGGCCTTCCGGTATTTGGCAAGAGGATTAGAAACATGTTGCCAAGTATTATTCATTTCACGAGTTCATTTAGAAAGAAAGTACAATAGATTTAAAACTAGAGAGGATAAAAATTCACACATGCGCAATTCACATAACTTTTAACATATATCAGTAAAATGCTTGTAAAAAAATATGCTTACATTATATGAAATATGCTATCATTGAATAATATTTAAGCAATAAAGAAAAACAAAACGCCACTGAAATATGTCGAATTATCAGTGAAGGCGGGGCAATACAGAACAACAAATGTGGTAATGTATTAAGTTTGAAATCCAATAAAAGTCGGCACTTTAGTTAATGTCGATGATTTCAAAATCGCTCTTTTGTGTGTCCAATATATTTGATAAATACTATCACTTTATACTAACAAATGTTGACATTCTGGTGAATGTTGGTTTTAAAAAATACTATTTCTCACTTACAACATTACTATTCTGGGGATGGGTAATGTTGACTTTTATCGGTATAAAATGAGAAATATTTATATAAGTAGCATATTTAACACTAATCATTCGCGTGTACTGAATGTCGATGATCTTCTTCGGTTTTACTTAAAAATAATGAAATTCAAAAAAAATTATTGGGCATAAACTAAAACTGACGATGTGACTGTTGATAATCACCAATATTAGTTTTTTATATTTAAACATTTGCAAAATAAGAAAACGAACTACCCTGAATAACTTTTGATTAACTAACTGATCAGATCTTCCCGTTCTAGGACTCATTTTTAATGGTTTAAGGGGTTGACCTCAAATATGTTTATTAATTTCAGCAAACGATTTATTAAGTTACCAAATCAGGCACACACACGTAGTTTCTCTGAATAAAGATACCCTTTTTTCCACGGATTCCGATTTTTGACCCCAAAAATATAGGAGGTAGCCGCAAACCTTTTTTTTGACGGATAAGGATTTCTGACTACCAAACTGTAAGGGGTAACCGCAATGTTAATTTTGCTTTTTGCCATATCTCGAGAATTTATAAGCGAAATAAAAAAAAAAAATATTTGCGCACAATTACAAAATTTGTTTATTTAAAGATAAACCCAGGCAAAAATAACTTTTAGTAAATATTTATTATTTTCTTTAACGATAGTCAAAAAATTTTGAATTGTATAGTATATAATTTTTAAATCATTTAAAGAATGCAATTTTACAAGGCAAAATAAAAAGGTTGAGCGAAATCGGCCGAATAGTTCCTGAGAAATTAAATTTTAAAAATATTACTTTTTTAAGGCAAATTTTGCAATAACATTCGTTCTTTTTTCACTTGATTTTGTTGTTTTTTAAATACTAAGTAAAATAATAATGAACATCGAAGTTCATTTGCTTCGATTTTGTTATGGGTGTTGTAAAAAGGATTGCTTGATATAACGAGTTATCGGCAATAAGTTTAAAACAAATAATTTTGATTTCATTAATTGACTAAATAATATTATTTTGAATCGGTAACTTGTTGAAAGAAGATATTGAGTAAGTGTGACAATAAAATTTCGAAATCAACAATTTCATTTAAAATTTCACAGCTATTAAGGATTGCATTGTTTGAATTTCATTGTTTTTTTTTGTGTTCGAATTTAGCCATAGAACTTATTTGTCCATGGAATTGGAGGCTATTTTTTACCAAAGAAAGCACACCAAATTGTTGCACTAATCGAAGAAAAAAAATGCTATTTACATATATCGGTTGGAAGTAGGCATAGTTTGTCTACCNATAAATTCTATCACTTTATACTGACAAATGTTGACATTCTGGTGAATGTTAGTTTTAAAAAATATTATTTCTCAAATCTTTTTTTGACGGATAAGGATTTCTGACTACGGAACTGTAAGGGGTAACCGCAATGCTAATTTTGATTTTTGCCATATCTCGAGAATTTATAAGCGAAATAAAAAAAAAATTGCGCACAATTACAAAATTTGTTTATTTAAAGATAAACCCAGGCAAAAATAACGTTTAGTAAATATTTATTATTTTTTTTAACGATAGTCAAAAAACTTTGAATTGTATAGTATATAATTTTTAAATCATTTAAAGAATGCAATTTTACAAGGCAAAATAAAAAGGTTGAGCGAAATCGGCCGAATAGTTCCTGAGAAATTAAATTTTAAAAATATGACTTTTTTAAGGCAAATTTTGCAATAACATTCGTTCTTTTTTCACTTGATTTTGTTGTTTTTTAAATACTAAGTAAAATAATAATGAACATCGAAGTTCATTTGCTTCGATTTTGTTATGGGTGTTGTAAAAAGGATTGCTTGATATAACGAGTTATCGGCAATAAGTTTAAAACAAATAATTTTGATTTCATTAATTGACTAAATAATATTATTTTGAATCGGTAACTTGTTGAAAGAAGATATTGAGTAAGTGTGACAATAAAATTTCGAAATCAACAATTTCATTTAAAATTTCACAGCTATTAAGGATTGCATTGTTTGAATTTCATTGTTTTTTTTTGTGTTCGAATTTAGCCATAGAACTTATTTGTCCATGGAATTGGAGGCTATTTTTTACCAAAGAAAGCACACCAAATTGTTGCACTAATCGAAGAAAAAAAATGCTATTTACATATATCGGTTGGAAGTAGGCATAGTTTGTCTACCGAAAGAACTCCCCTCGCCATGAAGTCTAAGGTCGTCTGTTGCTATGGAAACTAGAAATGGCGCACTAAGAGGGAGTTCCTATCTCTCTCTGACCCGAGCCTAAGCCTGTCTTAAACCAACACCCTTACTTGAAATGGTTTAACCTCCTATAACCATAGTCACCGCCACTACTCCAGACGAATGGCTAGGGTAGTTCTTTAGATAGACAATATTCGCGCATGTGTGTGTTAATCTTCAGTCTAAATTTGCAATTTCATCATTAGGTAAATTCTTAAAAATATATAATTTCAAGACAACCATGTAAACGAAACCTAATATATATAAGAATGATAAGTTTCTCTCACACACCCTCTTTCCCCTCACATCAAATGTTATCGAGTAATCCAAATATTAGATAAGAACTTATCTTTTCGATCCACCCCGTCACTGAAATAAGGGGAGCACAATAAAGACTTAAGTAAAGGCAGTGACAGATAAATCACAGAAAATAACAATCTGAGCTGCTCTCGATTAGAAACACAAACAGATAGCAGAACTTCAGTGTTTATACACAGTCAACTTCCCTCTTTTTTTATTTGTTTCTTGAGAATATTATATTGGACAGATTTCTTAAGAAAGGAAACAGCATTACTTCCTTTCCAACGGTTTTAGTGAAGAAACTGTATTATCACTACACATTTTTGTTTTTTCAAAGGAAATTTAAGTAATAAAGTAAAACGAAAACTTCAAAAACTACGTTATTCAAGTAGACAAATATTTCATTTTTTTGATGGACGTAAAACGAAAAATGTGGGGCGCATCACTTTTGAAGGACGTGGGGAGGGATTTTTGGTGATAATAGCTGTTCATAACCAAAATTACGAACTCAACACTTCAGGTCTGAAAAAAAAAAAGATTTCTCCTTTTAAATTGATTTGAAAAACTGAAAGATTTCTTATCATATTTTAAGATTTTCGTTATTTTTTCGTATATCTCGAAGAGTTGCATATGCGCACTTTAGTTAGTTGGAAAGTGGTCGAATTTTCGACTAATGACTTATTCCCTGAGCGATAAATTCTACTTATAACGCTCAGGAAATGATAGCAGCTCACTCTGTCCTCCGGTACTAAGCTGTAGAAATAAATATACTAGTTGGTCAAACAGTGGTCTAAATTTCGATTATAAGATTCTCCCACAATCACGAAAGCAAAGTAATAAAAACAGGTACTTTGGGATTATCCCGTCGACCAGTCAACCCTCGATAAATGCTCAAATCCTTTAGCGCCATCATAATGAAAAGCAATTTTCAAAATAAACGTTTTAAACACATTAAATTTAATCAATCA